ATTTTGATTGTATTGACCAATAAAAACGTTGCATTAATTTATTCCGTAACAATTTGCAAACAGAAAACAAAGGATTGTGCACTTTCAGGGTGCTTCCAACATAAACTGCAGCACTGTTGTTTTTATCATTGATGTTTGCCGCTTTTCATAACCAGTCTCCTCTAATAACTATGGTTGAGGTGACTCTTTCAGGAAAATACGTGAAAATGTTGTGGACCTGAAACTGATAGCGGTTATGTTTTCTGCTAATTTTCAATTTGGCATGCATTGATTAGTCATTTTAAAATATGTGGCTTGTGTCTCATATAATTAAACGTCTTATGACTTTTTGGTCTGCATTCTAGGAGAGTTTTGATAAAATGCAAGCATCAGTCAAAAAACTTGATATTCCAGCATTAAATTAAATGCAGATTGTTTTGCCTGATCCCTATTGAGCTAAAAGTTATGCCTACATATTTAAAGTAGTCAACCGTTTATAAACTTATAAAGTATTCTAATAACTTGATAAATTAAAAAAAAATAGAATTACTGCAGCAATAGTTTTCAACCTCGCCAACACCAGCTCGACTCGCATGGGTTAGGAAAACTAGAATATTTCAAGGCCTCAATTTGCTATCTTCTCTTTCATTTCGCGCCAAAGGTAAAATCGAAATCAAAACTAAGTACTAGGTTAAGAGGGGACACAATCCCCATGGAGGTTTAATTAATTTGCTATCTTCTTCGGCTTCACCCCTCAGCGAATTTGAAACATAAAAACACCAAACACGTTTGACGGAGAAGCCTAATTTTTTGACGAGAGGAAAGGGGACTTTCTCGACGTATTAAGCATGTGCCGGAATCGCCGCGCTGTCAAATGTGTACACAATGATTCCGATCTGTTATCCACTAAGCTGGCTGTTGCTAAGCTAATTAAAACGACTTAGATTTTATTTTGTTAAGAGATTTGATTTTCAACCTATTACTAAGGTACTTACCTACAATAATTCCCCTAAAAAAGGCCAGCGTTCTAGTCACTACTGTCGACGACTGCTTGACATAAGCAATCTGTTAAGCCGTGGTTAAAATGAACAACGTGCACGTGCTTTACTTGATCTCCCCTCTACCCTCCCCTCTAATTTAGTTTGTTTTTATTTTGAACACTATTGCGTCTGTGCTTAATCATTGTGTTGAATATCGCAGTGATAAAAATGATATTTTTTCAATTAGAAGAGTTTTTTTCAGTCATAACCAAATAATAAAAGCCTACTAGTCAGAAAAACTTGCCTATTAGTATTCCCCACTCTACCCAACACGATAAGATAAATTTCTGTATAGGTACCGCGAAGGACTAGGTTCTAACTGGTCGTTTCAAAATGGCGGCCAAAATGGCGAACACGGGTGCTACCAATTCTTCAAATCCTGTCGTGTTTTTCGATATAACCATTGGTGGACAGGTAATTTAATACTCCAATTCATGTCAATTTTGTCCTCATCCCTAGCTACGCTATTTCATTGCAATTAATGACAGGTTGACTTGAATTTAGGGTTAAAGATTTAGTGGCCTACTTAAACTTAGCTCAAGCTCATGAACTAAAAGAGGTCGGCAGAATTAATTTAAGCATAGTTGATTGTTCCGACTTTACGTTTTTTAATCCTGTACTTATAGGAAGTAGGCAGGATGAAGATGGAGCTTTTTGCAGATGTTGTGCCAAAAACAGCTGAAAATATGAGGTGAGCAAGTTACATACGTGTTAGTTTTTATCACCAGAAAAATTCAATTCATGTGGACAAATTGGTCGTGTTTGATGCACAAAATAAATATTGAGGGACCCATTGCAGTATATTAGAGTAAGAAAAAACTTGTACAAACTCCCTGCTATTAAAACACACTGTATTTGCATAAAGTTGAGGTATACTGCCTTGAGCTTTCAATGGCACTCATCCGGTGGATAGTAAACGTTTCTGGCAGAACCATTCCCTTAAAAAGAAAGAGGGGTTACCATTAGGCTTTTCAGGAACAAACGGGGTTGCCATTTTTTATGCTCTCATGAATTTTAGCAAAACAATAATAACTGTCTTTGAGACAACTTTTAACTGAACATAAAAGGAGATGTTGTAGTTAATTTTTTTTTTTTTAATTTTATCTCAGATAATTATTTGTGTTTTTCAAAAGAAAAAGAAAAATTACCTGAGATAAAAAATGAACTACAGCATAGATACACTGTACAAGCAAATCAGTGGCATTGTTTTGAAGTGTTTGTGGAGTATTCTTCTTGCTGGCTGGTATATATGTAAAGGTCATAAAGAATAATTGAAGTACAAATTATTTATACATTTAAACAACATGTATTAAACTGATTAACCATTAAGAGCAAACGGTGGGTGATTTACTTTTGTTATGGTACTCGGTATACAAGTTGCTTGAAGTACTTTTCTGGCTTTTTGATGTCATTAATATATTATTGAGGGATATGGATTCTGAAGGGTCTTTAAAATTGTACAAAAGTCTGTTAGCTGTGACTATAAATGGGGGTAATTAATGATCCACAGTCCTAAAAGCTGTGTGTATTTAAATATCCATTTATAATAACTATTTGTAGAAATAAGAAGTTTAATCCATTGTAATTATTCATTGCTTTGTTATGATTTCTCTAGGCAACTGTGCACTGGTGAATACAGGTGAGAGTAATTCACAATGTTGTGGTCATGACTTTAAAATAGTTTTTATTTATTATTTTTTTTTAATCAACTTTGAAATAACTTATAAAATTTTGGCTTGTTTTCTTCCCTGAAGGGTACAGAAACAAAATATTGTAGTGGGAGTGTCAAACATTTTGCAGTGTCAATGTTGTGTTTTCTTGTGCACGAAAAATACTGCGTATTACTTTTCTGTCTGACTACTGAAACTGGGTTCACTTTGACAAAGTTGACCTATCAGATTACAGGAAATTAACAATATGTTGGACCAAGAAAGTTGGTTGGGAACGAATCAGTAGCTCGTAACAAAATAGGTTACTCAAAGCACAAAATTTAGATATTAATTGATAGCAAACGTTTTTCAGGAAAGCAAAATGTTTCACCAGACAATGTTATTCTATTTTAAACTTGACATTTACACAGTAACATCTAAGGGACATATTTGTTTGGCACAAGCTGTTATTTCGTCATCTACATGTACAAGCATTTTCATCACAACCATTGGCAGCCGCGTTTTGCAATAACCTGCAAAGTCCAAATTATAACTAATTTTTACAGTTGTCATCTCCATCACTCACTTTAAGAAACATGGGCTTTCTTCAGTGGGTTCAAGCAATCATTTCAAGACATTATATGACAAAATATAATACTGAGATCCGCAAACGATAAATTTCATTATATTTTTGCCTTTTGATAAAAAACTACACTCTAGATAAATAAAGAAGATTTATCTTCGATGTATTTTTGCATACTAGTACATAATTGTATGAATTCATCGTTTTAGTCGACATGTTGCTTGATCTCTTGCATTACCCCCGGAACCCCATTCATAAGACGAATGCGCAGAAAAACAGATTAGGTTGAACTTCTCTTAGGACGTGGAGCTTGGTATGCCTGTGAAAACAATTGCATAGTGTGTATTTTTTCTCCATACCTTGAGTCTAATTATTTATTATAAATTTGCATTCATGCATGTACATCTACATGCACACTGTATTACTATTTTATTTTACTGATTTTCTTTAGAAAAGGTGGAGTACCCCAAGGATATAAAGGAGCAACCTTTCATAGGTATGTAGTGGTATAAAATGCCATAGGCATCCATCTTTTATTAGTATATAATATTGTACACACTCAGTGCATGATCAGTATAGGGCAGATGAAATGACAACAAAGTCAAATGTTCAGTATATGAAGCTAAAAAAAAGATGGGTAATGAAAGGGCAACAGCAACAAGGGAAATTGGAAATATCAACAGCAGGGTGCAAAGAAAATCATTTTTACAGCTTGCCATTCGGGCAAGCTGAAGCTAGCATTTACTAGCCCAGACGTCATTTCAACTAGCCCCAAAAACTTGTTGTTCTTCTGTTATTCAAATTCCTCATAAAACATCACTTGCCCGTCGGGCAAGTTGAAAACAGAATTCACTAGCCCGATACCAAAATCCACTAGCCCCAGGCTATCGGACAGTACTTTCTTTGCTACTGAACAGAGACATGACTTCCAGCTCCCTGGTTAGCTCAATTGGATAAGCTCAGGTTTGCTGTGCAAGAGGCTGCTGGTTCAAACCCCAGCTGAACCAACACTCAGGTTCTTTAAATATAACTGAGGAGAAAGTGCAGCCTTTGTAAATAATAACATTTGCAAAAGGTTAGACTCTCTGGTGCTCTCAGATAACTGTCGATAAACTGCCTGTCCCGTCTCACAACTGCATCGCTGCATAGTCATGCAACTATAGGAAAGCAGTCTGGCAAAAGTCCTAAACTGGTTTTGTTGTAAATTGTCCCAGAACAGCCTTGAGGGGAGTGGATAATAAGATATTTACAATTTATTTCTATATAATATCTTTTATCTTTGTTTAGAGTAATTAAGGATTTCATGATTCAAGGTGGAGATTTTGTAAAGGTTAGTTTTAACCCTAAATTATGTAAGTAACTTCAAAGTACTAAAAGTTAATTTAACCAAATTGTAGTGCCTAAAAGATACTTTACAAAAAACCTTTTCACTTGATGGCTGCCACTAAGACTTCTAGTTGCTGGGTGTATATGCAATTTTGTATAAGGTTAACCCATTCGCCCCTGAACCGCCCGTAACCACCCATGCGGATCCACGACCTTTCTACCCTTTGTGACGTCATCAGTTTTAATGGTCAAGGACAACTTTGTCCGCTAACTTGTGCAGAGTGAAGAGATCTTTCAAACCATACCAGAATGAGCACAATTCAGTCAAGGAAACCGGAGAAAGAGACAAAAACCCATGTAACATTGACCTGAAAATCTCCATGAGAATCTTGTTCCATTGCCCACCTACCTTTCCTTTCACCTAATCCTTAGATCCTAAGAGCTTTCCTAAAAAGTATTCCCACCAAAATGAAGCCTACTAAATGCCCACCAAGAGAAAAAAAAATGAGGCAAAAAAAGCGAAAAAAGAGGGGAGGAGAGAAAGCGAAAAGTAAAGTCAAGACTGCTGTGTCACTTTTAAACCCAAAAACTATGTCGAAATTTTGGTTTCTGCGCATGCCTGAACTTCGCAAGCTGATATTTTGCATCTGGATCAGAAGGCCGTGAAGTGTACGACCTGTAAAGCGGTTTGTGGTAAGTTTTAGCTCTTTATAGCACGACAGTGACCAGAAAACCACTCAACTAGCTTCAAAACGCGTTTTTCGGCAAAATCTCCAGGAGCGAATGGGTTAAAGTTCTTTTTTATCCTTTTTTTTCCTTTTATGTGAAAGTAGCCAGGTGTCATGCTCATAGAAGCTGGGGAAAATCTGCTGCTCCCTGCCTTTGTGACAGCCCTGCATTTTATAGATAGTGTCTTGTTTAAGCCAAATTACTACAAAAAGCTGGTACTCTATCATTACAATAGTTTTATATGGGGCATTTTACAAATACCAGTTAGATTTATACTGCTGATTTATAATATTTTTGTCTTAGGGTGATGGCACAGGTGTTTCCAGCATATATAATGATGTTGCCTTTCCTGATGAAAACTTTAAACTAAAACATGATGTTCCAGGTCTTCTGTCTATGGTAAGAAACAGATAGAATAACAGCAGGCTAGGCCTTTTGATGGGTGTGGAAAAATCGAAGAGGTTGGGTATTAAGTGAAAGGTCAAGGTATAGTTTATTTAGTATAATTGTAGTAGAAAGGGTAGACCTACCATGGGGCAAGTGAATAATATTTTAATTTTAGGGGAGATTAATGGCTAGTGTTTTGGCTCAAGAGCTTTGGTGGCTCAATATGCATGGTGTTTTCAACCTATGCTGATTTATTTTACAACCTTTAATTATTGTAAATAATTATAGTCATATTTCCCATGATTAACCTCCAAAGAATGCACAATAAAGTGGTTGCTCATGGGAGGCAAACCAGTGTGGGTCTTATATCAGCTGCCATCAGTCGCCATTAGGAAGAGAATTCACTGCATGTAATGTCTAAGTTACGATAACAATCAGGGTTCAGAATTGCCACTGATACAGTCGCCAAGATGCAACTAACATTTTTTCCTTGGTGACTAAAAATTCTTGTTTAGTGGCCACTTTGTCGACCAGATTTCTCTATGATTTAGATTTAAATTAAAAGAGGAAAGTTAAAACAAACATTTCATTTTATCCTTATTTGCTTTTGTCATAAAAAAATGTGCCAAATTGCATAAAGAAAACCAGTTTACCTCCAAATTTATATTTTCAAACAATCAAATCTGGTGGATAACACCATCTATGAGCTGTGTCATTTACATTTATTTATACAAACTGGCAACTAAAAATTGGCATCTGGCAACTATATTTCTCCAGTTGGTCGCCAAAAGGTGACCTGAGGATTTTTTAAAAAACTTCGAGCCCTGGATGTACAGCTGTAATAATTAAGTGCACAGGTGTAGTTCCATGCCATCACTAAAAAGCATTTGTAACACAATCTGAGAAGTGCAGAGCATACCGCAAACATAGTTATAAGATCATTGTCAGTGTCAAGCCATAGTTTACAAGAGGTTAAAAACAAAGATGAAGAATAAAACAGCATTAGTATTGCCCCCAGAAAGTGGTCGTGGTCACTTGCAAAAAGAGGTGATCATTAATGAGACTTTTTTAATCAACTGTAACGTTTGGTGTGACTCAAATTTTAAGAGCTATCAACTTGTAGAATTGGACCACCTGATACTATATCAGAGGCCCATATTTTTCCCATGTATTTATTTAAAGTAAAAACAAACAAACTGTTCCTTAATGTTAATTTTGTCTTTGGTGCCAACACAAATGTTACATAGTGCTTACCTTTTTCAGGCTAACAGTGGTCCAAATTCTAATGGCTGCCAGGTCAGTGCACCAAAAAAAAATCACTTTCTTGATGAATTTTTTATTCAGTATATATTATTTTTAGGACGTATATTATTTTAATTTGGTAATTATTTTTTATTTTTTTGTTCCTTTGGTAATTGGAAAATGAAATTATCTTTCTCTGCCACCACTATTTTTGTCTTGATGTCTTGAGTTAATAATGTGAACTCTTTTCCATGATTTCAGTTTTTCGTAACCTGTGCAAAGTGTGATTTTTTGGACGGAAAGCATGTAGTGTTTGGTAAGCCCTACAAACTAAGGTAGCTTTGTTATGCGGTGAATTTGCCTTCCTGCTGCAGAGGCCTTCCTTTGCAGTTGTATTATTTGTCCTAAATTTGAGCTCTAGCCATGATGTTGCTCCAAAAAGTCAAGGAGCAATAAACCCTTGCAATTAACCGTTGGAATTCCTAGGAATTCCCAGTCATTCCAAGACAAGCAAATGAAGAAGAAATAATTATTAAAAAAACTTGAATTTCTGGGAATCTCTGGGAATGGCTTAACATGCACTGGTTGGGAATTACTCTTGGAATTCCCAGTAATTCCAAGTCATGCAAATTAGGAAGAAATTAATAACTTGGAATTTCTGGGAATATCTGGGAATGGCTTAACAAACAACTGGGAATTACTGAAAATTCCTAAGAATTCCAAGACATTCAAATTTCAAGAACAATTTAAAGCTTGAAATTTCTGAGAATGGCTTAATATCAGTAACTAAAAAATTCCTAGGACTAGTTCCAAATAATTCTTAACCCAGTAGAGAATTGAGTCTTGAATTTAGAATAAGCAGTAAAAAATAAAATGAAATTAAAAAAGGGAGAAATTGTTATAGCAATACCAAAAGTCCACTGGACGTTATTAAGAAAAAGACAAGCATGGGAATTTTTGAGGCAGATTAAGCGCTGGTGACCAACTAGAGCCTTAGCACGTTGTCATCACATGTCATCATGTTCTACCCCTAGGGCAGCCTAGTTGACTATAGGGATTACAATCATTGGTAAAATTTTAAGTTTCTCACCTTCTTTTTTAAGTTGTTTTTGTTTGTTTACTTGTTTCTTATTTTCTTGATTACAAAGCATACATAATGGTTACATTCCTTGTAGCCAAACTTTTTTCGGATTTGGACAATCCAGATTGTTTGGATTTTCGTGCTAGCTGGAACAAAAATCTGAAATAAGATTGATCCGCACTGCAGCAGCCTGCCGCTCCGATCTTCTTCTCAATTTCAACGCATCGTCTTTCTGCTAAAAGCATCTTGTCGTGGAGAAACGGAAAGAAAATTAGCTCTTTAACTAGTGGTGGGTTATACTAGAACTCGTCAACTTAAAATTATCTGGAATTTGATTCAAGAAAATCCAGAAGACAATTACGACTTCTCAAGAGCTGAGAAGCGGGTTCTAAACACAAACAGACATTGGACAGTATAGTTTTACCGTGAGAAAATCTAAGCGTTTTCACTTCCTAACGGATTTAGAGTGACAGTGGAACTTCAGTTAAATATACTACAATCCTTTAGCGGCATAGAACAACGGGGGAATATAAATAACTTTTGCTTGAACTAACCTTGACCCGCCGTGTTCACTGATGAACGAGCACGTTTTTGCGATCGAGAAGAAGTTTCATTAAATGGAACAAAGATCTGAAACCAGATTGAAATACCAATCTGAACGATCCACATTCAGAGGTAGATCGTTCGGATTGCAATGTTAGATTGGTTTGGTCCTTAATGGAACAAAAAATCGAATTTTCGAACGCAAAATCAAGATTTAGATTGGCTAAAAGGAATGCAGCCAATATTAATATCGGATTTCAGAGGAGCAATCTTTCTGAAGACTACTCTCTCGTTTTGCGCTCTCAGTCACCTTAACATAGCCATCTCTTGTCCCCGGCTTTCGCTCAAAGGACTAAGGAAAGAGAGGCGTCTGCTAGCTGACCATTTTTATATTCTGATATTTGCTTTTTGTAAGGCAGGGTTTCACTGCCGTCGGAATTGACTAGTCGTTAAAGCGTTTTTGAGCCAGTAAAATAAAACAATTCGTTAACTTCAAAGAATCGAAAGCGCAAGAATTTGAACATTTCCCTTTTATGTTTATTTCATTCTTTTCTTTAATACTTCTCGTTTGACTGCCGATTCCACTTAGAAATCTGCCCATTCGCATGCAAGCTAAAGCACGGAAACTAAGCCAATCACAATTTTATTTCTTTACAGGTAAAGTTATCGATGGTCTTTTAGTTATGAGAAAAATAGAGGTATGTCATGCCTAGGGACCTAGAGCTGTATAAATGCAATACAATAATACTAATCCTTTTGGGATTGTCCAAAGTGCCTCGATAACAATAGGCCCAACTCTTGTTTTGACCTTTCCAAGTTTTCTCAATTCTCTTGCCTGGTCTTGATATTTATCAATCTTCTCTTTCTCCTTCAGTTCCACCCTAACATCCCCTGGTACAGCTACACCAATAATTTGGCAAACTGCTTGTTGTTTGTCTACTTTAACTAGATCAGGTCTATTGTGTTCAAGACAAGCTGATGATCAGTCTGTATGCTAAAATCCCAAAGTATTTTGACTTTCTCGTGCTCTCGAACTTTTCTAGGGACCTGTTCATACCACTTGTCTGCAACTTCCAATCCGTACTTTCTGCACAAGCACCAATGGACATGCTACTTTTGCAACGCCATCATGTCTACCTTTATATTCTCTCTAAGCCAACGATGAGCATTCACAAACTATGTGGCTTACGGATTCTTCCGCACTCTTGCACAACCTGCATTTTTAGGTGACAGCCCTGTTTGTCAATCTTTGTCTTTATTGCCTGGGCCGCTGTTAGCAATCCTTCTGACTCCTTCTTTAATTCCCCATTCTTCAACTACGTGCACCTTCTTGTTCTTGTTCTTGTTTTCTTCTTGTTGTTGTTGTTATTATCATTATTGTGAAAGGTGTGAACCCAGGAGTCATTTCATTATTGTTGTTGTTGTTTTTGTTTACTGTTTAGTGTCTATAATTGAAGTCTATTTTTCTCCATTTCTTTCTCACCTTAGAATGTTCCAGTTGGACCTAACAACAGACCTTCATTACCAGTTGTTATATCACAGTGCGGCGAGATGTGACCAATAATCAGCGTCTTATGTCTGTCATTAGAACAAGTTTAAACTGAGGCCCCCTCCACACGTATCCGGATATTTTTGAAACGGACATATTTTCCCTCCGTTTTCAAAAAAATACGCATCCAGACGTAGCGTATTGGAACCGTCCTCGCCCGTCAATACGAAAACGCTAATCAATGGAAATACGATAGCATCCCTTACGGAGCATGCGTTATGCTAGCAGTAAATGATTTATGACATCTTCGTATTTGAAAACATCCGTTTTCGTCCGTTCACACGTAAACGAGAAGCCAGCGTTATCAAAAATTTTCACTCTCGAGAGCGTTTTAGAAAAGATGCTTTTTCGGTGACCGTTTTGACCGAATACGTGTGGTCGGTAGCTACATTGTAGTTTTGCATGGCTTCAGCATGTTACATCTCAAGTGATGGAGAATGAGTGTAGTACAGTCAGTCGATTTTACTCACCGATAGTCCGCTCATGGTAGTTCATGACCTGTATAAATACACCTTATAAACTTTTGAAAGTTTATGTATTCAATGCTGTCAAGTGTAGTACACTCAGTCGATTTTACTCGATAGTCCGCTCATAGTAGTTCATGACCTGTATAAATACACCTTATAAAGTTTTGGAAGTTTATGTATTCAATGCTGTCAAACAAAGAATGACAGCTGTGATTTATACAGGCAAATTGTCTGCAGTAAAAGTTAAAATTAAACTCTAACTTGTTATATTATTGTTTATGTCTTTTTGGGATGTTTTACTTATTCCCTTCGCTTCAATAAGGTTTGGAGGCTAAATAGTTTTTTTTTGCCTGCCGAAAATTAGACGGAATTGTGTGGGAAAGACATCATGGTTGACTGGTTTTTCCAAACAAATCGTTGTAAATTTTGAAACATTCGTAAACATTCCAGCGCATAATTTACAGCGGTGAAATTTTCTGTTATGAATGAAAGAAAATTTTAGCCGTTTAACGTTTAAGGAAAAAAAAATTATGACAGTTTGAATTTACAAGGATTTGCATGGCCGGGAACCACTCAACTGTGACTGAGGGGCAAGAGATTTTTCTTTTTCCCATACGTATCCTTCTAATTTTCGGCAGGCGTTGCAATCGCTGCTTTTGAGATATATGGCTGAAAATTAATAAACTGCCTAACTTTAATACTAATTTCTTGCTGGTCTAGTTTCTCTAGGCTTATTCATAACTCAGATGAATAAAACGTCTGAGGATCGTCTTCGGGACAAACGTCGATCTTCACATGCGACAAACTAAGCTAATAAATAAATAGACTGCGAGCAGTCTCTCTTTTTCTTCAGATTTAGTGAGGGGAGTGCACGGGCGCGCGAGCGGCGAAGCCGCGAGTTGCGAGAAACGAGGGCGGCGAGGTGCCTCCTCTGTCTCGCGCCTTCAGTAACCCGCGTGGTCATTTGCGTGTCTCGCGCGTTTTGCTCGATGGACCAAGAAAACAGAGAGACTGCTCGTAGTCTAATAAATTAAAAATTTGTATGATAACGTTAATTTTTTTTAGCCTCATTCGGGAGAAAATTCACTACTGGCCGGCTAAAATTCCTTGCTGGTCTGATTCAGATGATTGGTTCGACGCGTTCTAAGTTTGACGTCTGACCCAACAGACGATCTAAACTTAATTTAGGTCGACCCAAATTAGAGTGTCGCCTCATGCACGGCACGAAAAAATGTCGCAAATATAAAAATACTGAAGAGTAAATATATGGCAAAGATGGTAAATTCCACATTTGCAGGTTATTTACACCCCCTGTGTTTTGGTATGCAAATGTGGCATTTATCATCTTTGCCATATATATAGAGGCTATTACACGGTGGCGTGAAGATAAGAATTTTATTTTCTAGTGGCAAAACAACATTTTACGAACGAGCGCAGCGAGTGAGTAAAATATTGTTTTTGCCAAGAGAAAATAAAATTCATATCTTCACGCCACCGTGTAATGTTCTTTTTATTATATAGACAAAAGGCATCGATAAAATAATAGAGGAAAATTACCGAAATTACGTCATCGATAAAGTCACGTGTGAGATTTATATGGAAAGTAAACCACTCGGATCCCGGATGTAGTTTTTATGAATTTTACTAGTGGTATATTTTCCAGTAAAACACTCGTGTCTATATAATAAATATATATATTTACTCCTCAGTATTTACATATTGGCGACATATTTGCAGGGAGCATGACTACAAGTTTGATATGTTACAGCTCACCCCATGTATGGGATTAATCCAAGACAGTCTTGGATTCTGGATTCCACGCCTTTGATCCCAGGTACTAGATTTCAGTGTTTTTCAGTGAAACTTAGATTCTGGATTCCGATCGTTTGGGGGATTCCGGATTCCTTGAGCTGTATTCTGGATTCCTAAGCCCAGGATTCCGGTTAACCTCAGGTTAGTGCCCATCGGCCTTTGAGGAACTTGGGCTTGGGGTCTACGATATTCCTTAGGATGTTCAAATTTAAATGCGGCAAATTTCATTTTAGCAAATATAATAATACAAGTAATAGGTAGTTAAATTCTTGTCATAGTTCTGTATTTCATGTTCTGTTTGTTTGTTTTGTTTTGCCTCGTTTTGTTTTTCTATCTCCTTTCCGTTTTTAGGATTATTATTACTATTATTCTTATTTTATTTTATTTTTCTCTTTCTTGAAAATATTAGATTTTACAGCTGCACTGTAAATCCGAGGTAAATTAAATAAGAATTTCTTTGTTATGATTGTTGCATATCGGAATGTCTATATTTTTAATATAATTGTAACCTAGAATTTTTTCAATTATCAAACTTTCTACTTTGTGCATGAAGTCAAGTGTAACAAATTTCTTTTATACGATTGTTGCATATCAGAATTTCTATTCTTTGCATGATGTAAAATCTGGAAAATTTCAAATATCAAACTTTCTACTTTGTTTATCAAGTCAAATATACGAAATTTCTTGATTATGATTTTTAGATAAAGGATACTGATTTTGCGCGAAGTGAAATTTGCCGAAATCACTTCACGTTTCACACTTTCTACTTAGTGCAACCAGTCCAATATGAAAAACGCCTTTATTATCATTGTTAGATATCAGAATTTCTAAGCGACACCCGGCCGACTGTAAGAAAACCATTCCTCGGATGTTACAAGAGTTCAGTTTTTAACAGCGCTAGCTGTAAGACGTAACACGCTGACAGGTTACATATTTCCATGAATCTTCTGGATAAACCTGACTGGTTTTTATCAACCACATATTCACTGAAAGTTTTACTGAAGCAATGTTTGGTAATATTACCATCCGGCATGAGGTTTTGGATAGAATGAAGCCAAAGTTTAATCATATACTGCCCCTATTTATAATCAGTTTCAGAGCTGGATAACCTACCGAGCATTTCTTGCAACACTTGGACATTGTTTGTGGCTCCAAATGGTCATTTCAAAGGAAGATAAGTGTTTCTCAGCGATATCTTTTTCCCAGGTTTTGATATCGTCTCTGTCATTCCCCGGTCATGCCCCTGAACTGCAGCCGGAGGAGAATGAGTATAAAAGAAATAAAAATCGCCCGAACAGCTCCAAATTTCACGTGAAAAATGTATTCGCTTACATTTTACACTGCTGAATTTCAGCAAAGTGGGGTCTCAGGATCACCTTTTACAACCCGACTTGGTCAAGCTTCCGTGTTGGCCGCATTTCATCCTGCTATCGAAAAGATCTATCAAGAGTTCAAATATCGGCGCCACTTGTACGTGCGTTGTCGGGCAAAAAATGTTATATTTCAACCGTTTTGGCGCTGGGGCACAAGAGTTTTGCACAATAACCCACCGGCCGGGCGAATTTTCTCGAAAAATGGAGTACAGGCTTTCCCTAGGGAGAAAAGAAACTGTCCGTAATGACGAGGTAGCAGACGTCCTTACGGCTTGCATTTGTTAGGTTGCAGTTAGCTTATCTAAGAAACGCGCCGAACGGGGAAACGCTAAAACGCTGTGGCTATATGGCCAGTAACCGGTCAAGGTTTTCAAAACACTAAATGGCCGGCAGGCCTTTATTCTTAGCCTGCAGTGCAGGCGTTTTCATCGGGCGCGCGCGAATGGTTTTAATCGCGAAAGCGCCATATTGAAACTCCCGAAGAGAGGAGGAAATGGGGCGAGTCAAGGGGTTCTTTTTTTGCCCTCACACCTACCGTAAGGGTTACTATTTCTACTCTCCCCAATCTTCCTCTGTCATAGAATCAAAGATGGCGGCTTCATCGTAGCGATCCGATTAACAAGCTTTCGCCCACCCAAAATACGCCTGCACTGCAGGCTACTTTATTCTCAGCACATTTCACAAAATCGAAAGATTCTAGCTAATCTACACGATCATATGTCGACGCTAAAACGTCCGCCTGGGAGCTACTGACCATTGGGAGGCTATGTGTGGGCTTTAATAGTCTCAATTTTGTCACATCCTGTTTTTCTAAGAAAAAAAGGAAGTGTCCTGTTACGGGTGAGATCACAAATAACAGCCATGATATTGCCATGTAGGCTCTAATTTCAATGCGATCTACAGTGCTTACCGTTAAATGTGCGGAAATAAGGCTGATCGCAGTTAAAATAATGAAAATTACTTGGCATGAGCTATGTCAGTATTGAGACCTATATAAACGGCTTGGAAACTAAAATTTGATAGCATTTTGTTTTGAATGACGGTATGGGCATGATTTTCAGTTGAACATGCCTAGCGACCGTAAAAATTGCATTCAGTATGAGGATTAATGAGAAAGGGAAAATTTTATATATTTAGGCATGACAAAATTCAAGGGAACATTGGTACTTAGAAATTACATGTCATAGGCATGGAAAAAATGGGTTCATGCCCTTGCAGCCCAAAAATTGACTTAGCTAAACTTAGGTCCCAGATCTCTCGCCGGGTTGATAATTCATTCCCAGTTTTTGCTCGTCTGGTTTGGCATGCCGGGCATTCCACCGCGGTCAAACGTCTGAGCATGCGCGAAGATTTGCT